TTGGATACAAGAGTCAAGTCTTTTCTTTTTCATCTCATATATCTACCGTAAGCTGGTTCTCAACCCGTACCCTTTATTGACAGAGCAACAGGTAGCCTAGGGGTCTGAGGAAGATCCGCTAGTCGCTGGTGTGAATGCAAAATCCGCTTGAAATGACCTGTTAGCACTCGTGATCTTGGTTTCACCAAAGTGGTAATTTGAACAGCCTGCGTCACTTTAAGCTTTCTTCATCGCTCTGGCATGCCGTGATTGAACTGAAATGCGGTATTTGTCAAATCTCACTCAGTCACTAATTCCCAGACAGCGTTGTTGAGTTTTTGTTATTGCCGTGTAACCAACTCGTTTATATGCATGTGCAGTCAGCTCAGCTCATTTTAGGAGTTTGCAAAATTGTCATTATTTAAGACTGTCAAGAAAAATGTTGACTTTTTTCTAAGGAACGTGTACACATCGTTCGAGACACTTTTAGGTTTCATAACCTGCGTGGCATAAATTATGTTTTATTTAAAACGGGATGGGTGCAACCCGTCCGATAGGTAAGCTTATCACATCGCTGGACGATATTACGCTCATGCAGTCATGATTTTGACCATACATGAATGGGCAAGAAGTAGCCCAGAAACGTCGTGTTGTAAATAATAAAGACGTTGTAGATCCATACCATGCGTTGTTACGTTACCTTCCAACTTCTAAATGCCAATCAAGCATCTGATGCAAATAGTAACCATCACCCTACTTAGATGATTGATGAATCAGCCAAAACCTGTACAGATCACAAATCACGTTGACCTCATCTGCCACTCCCAGTTTGAGGTGAATGACCATGACAGCTGTTCAACGTACACGCCCTGAATAATGACCTCCTTGCACTATGCACAACCATGATGTAAAGTCATATCAGTAAATTATGACAATTTATCAAGATTTATGTGATCGAAATGTGACCGGAGTGTTCGGAGTTCAACCGTTCTGCGAACATAATCCACGTAAGTCAGCTCCATCGTGCCCTACCCCTTGTCCACGATTCCCAAGACAGCCGTTCAGACAATGTAAATTGGTGGTTGTCGCTTGCATTGATAGGCTGACAACTCCAACAGGTCCTGGCGTTGTAGGAATTCTGTTGAGATTCCTTATTAGAATCTTTCTAACCTTAATGACTGCGCTGCTCTATTGACTTGACGTTAGACAACAACGGAACAAAGGTTTGTTTGGATTGCAGAGCAAACATACCATCTGAATATACATAGTTGTGTTTTACGTTTGGTCCAAATGAGAGTGGGCCAATATATCATATATATGATAAGCAAAGTCTATAACTATATATGTATATAACTATACATATATAATATGATAAGCAAGTAATATAAGCAGTAATATATATATATATATATTGTTGCTGGGTGGATCATACTGCTAAGTAATATATATATATATATTGTTGCTTGGTGGATCATACTGCTGGGTGATCATATTGCTGGTGGATCATATTGCTTGGTGGATCATACTGCTGGGTGGATCATATATATATAGTTATTGACTGTGCTTATCATATTATATATATATTTATATGGCAAACATACAGACTCTTAAAACAAATGGGGGATCATGAAATATAAGCAAAGATGTACAACAACGATGTGATGACAACAAAAACCATAACTATGCAAGAATGTGTATGTGTAAACCTTAAGACACATCCTATACTTGCTGCACGTATCTCGCACAGTAGCGCTACACACATGCGGAGGATGTCATTCCTGAGTTTAACACTTTCAAGGAAAGTTGATAAATCTCCGTGAACCAATATTTCTGTCAATGTTATTGATTTTGCTTATTGTTAAGTTGCCAATTTACTTGATTTCATTCATTGTTTGTGTTAGAACTAGGGATTTGGGGAATGCGGCCATAGGCTCGTAGAGGTGAGTGTGATGTGACCAGAGGGTCCATGTTTTAACAATATGTGATTAGTTGGCTTTGGAGAATATATTTTTACCCCGTTAAAGGTATCCCAGGCTCTATTCAATTCCTTTCTTCAGGCTACTGGTGTACTAGGTATGATCGGACGATTACAAATCTGCTAGAAGCAGCGCCACGTTTTGTGTCACCCCTTACAAATCGTCATGTTGCAACAGACCTCAAAATGGAACGTGAGGTATTTCTTTCGCTGGTCAATTGTCATGCTTTCTGATGTGTCAGTTCACTTCAAGCCATTGGATTGAGTTCCATCAGGGATTCCAACCCACGCTCACAGCGGTGGCTGGGTGGATCATATTGCTGGGTGGATCATACTGCTGAGTGGATCATATTGCTGGTGGATCATACTGCTGGGTGATCATATTGCTGGTGGATCATATTGCTGGGTGGATCATATTGCTGGGTGGATCATATTGCTGGTGGATCATATTGCTGGGTGGATCATATTGCCGGGTGGATCATATTGCTGGGTGGATCATATTGCTGGGTGGATCATATTGCTGGTGGGTCATATTGCTGGGTGGATCATATTGCCGGGTGGATCATACTGCTGAGTGGATCATATTGCTGGATGGATCATACTGCTGGGTGATCGTATTGCTGGTGGATCATACTGCTGGGTTGAACATATTGCTGGCTGTGCTTGCGATGATGTACCTGACTCTGAGAGTGTGAGAATGGAATCAAACCCCGAAACATGTTTAGAAGTTGGTGAATCAGATAAGGTACAAACTTTATGGATAAACAACCTCTTTATTCGAATGATGCTTTGTTTCGATACAGATTCTTGTACCGTTGTCAAGCAAGTATGGGTCAGGTAAAACAAAGGGTTACATATATATAAAGTAAATAACTGACAAGAACAACAAGAAGTAAATTAGATGTACAAAACAATGTGATGATAAGGGATTACATGTGGAAGCCAGTGACAATGGATACATTTAGAAGCCTGTGGGATGTACAGAGCAGGAGTGATTGGACATGTTTATACAAATAAACTCTGTCAAAAAAGAAACGCAACCCCTGTATTTTAGAGATTTTGATCTGAAGTTTTAGGACGACACGGCATTTTTATTATTTAAGACAGAAGTCTGAAATTTGGCAGAATAATAACCCAGATGGGCATGTTTAAAATTGTCATTTCAAAAGTCATCTCACAGACACCAGTTTGTCACCAGGGGGGCGTCTTTCTCAGTATCTCGTATGAGCACCACGCGCTGCAATCACTGCACGGCATCTCCTTGGACAAGAACGGATAAGACGCCGGATTCTTTCCTGGGGAATGGCTCTCCACTCCTCCTGCAGTGCAACGGCGAGCTGTTGCAGCGTCTGTGGCGGCGGCTGACGTTGACGTACGCGTCGATCCAGAGTATCCCACAGGTGTTCAATAGGGTTGAGGTCTGGTGATTTAGAGGGTCATGGCAAGACATTGACGTTGGAATTCTGCAGAAAGTTCATTGTTGCACGTGCAGTATGAGGCCGGGCGTTGTCCCGTTGAAAATCTGTGTCTGTTGGTCAATAATCGGGAGAAGGTGAAGCTCTAACACGTGGTTGATGTAACGTTGGGCTGTCAGGTTCCCTGGAACGATCACCAAGTCTGATTTCTGGTTGTATGAGATGGTTCCCCAAACCATGACGCTTTCTCCGCCAAATCTGTCCACCTGTCGGACGCAGATGGGCGCAAAACGTTTATGACGTCTCCTATACAGACGCTGTCTTCCGTCGTGACGTTGCAAAAGAAAACGTGATTCATCAGAAAACCAGATTCGCCTCCAGTTTTGTAAAGTCCGTATCCTTACGTTGTTGCACCACCTGAGTCGTCGGCGTCGATGTAGGGGGCGTAGTACAGGTCCAACAACTGGTCTACAGGCACGTAAACCCGCTTCTTTCAGACGGTTCCTAATCGTTTGAGCTGACACTCTCCTCAAACCTGGTATTTGTGTGGCAGTCACGGTTGGTAGGGCATGCCGATTACGCAGGTGATGGACCCGGATGTACCGATCTTGACGGGGGGGTCGTGATTCTTGGCCTTCCACTTCTCGGGCGATCGTTGGTCAAATTGAAGTTGTTGTAGCGGCTCCAAAGTCGGGATATCGTTGTTTTGTGAACATTTAGGTGCCGTGCAACAGTTCCAAAACTTTCTCCGGCTTGAACACGACCAATGGCGATATTTCGGTCGGCAGCACTCAATCGTGGCATTTTTAACACAGCTTTTCGGCGACAAATGAATGAATATAATACGGAAGCACATGGGCTTTTATACACCCCTACATTAACTGCCATTTTCATGATTTGCATGTGTTTTTTTTGTGCGAAGTCACCATGAGGGTCATTTCATGCGTTGTGACGGAATAAGCAATAAAATACACTTATGCGTACAAATGCAGTTGTTTGGATGGTAATCTTCATTAATTACGTGTATCATTTCAATACATTCGAATAAAATTTAGTTTGGAAGCAATAACTTCATTCAAACGAATTTTTCATATCTGAGGACAGGGGTTGCGTTTCTTTTTTGACAGAGTTTATATACAATTAAGCAGTTAGGGGTGGTTGATGAGGTCATCTTGTGCCAAGGGGATGAAATAACCTTGATCTCTGTTGATCAGGGGGTCGGTGTCCTTTGATGTGCATGGCTTCGCTTATATTCCGTTTGGTGAAGTCAGGTTAGTTGGTTGCCAGTATGGTGTATTCTGTCCCTTTGATTTGGTGATTGGGGTTGGCCTGAACATGTTCTGAGATGGCTGATTTGTTGTCGGATTTGTTTGTAGACGCCTGGTGCTCTTTCACTCTGGTGTTAAGTGGCCTAGATGTTTCGCCAATATATGATTGTCCACAGTTGCAGTCAATTTTATAAACCACACTCTTGGGATTGAATTTTCCGTTGTTGGGGTGGTTACGCCCGTTGGCCTGCAGAAGGTTGTTTAGGGTTCGTGAGGTGGAGAATGTGGTGTCTATATCGGCTTGTTGCTTCTGGAGTCTGCTGATCTGGTGTGAGGTCTTGCCAATGTAGGGGGTGGAGATTGTTATTGGTGCTGGCTAACTAATTGACTAATTGTCTTGTTGACTAATTGGGGTGGATAATCATTGTGGTCAATGAACGCTTCTTTGAGATGATTTATTTCCTCTTGACGATTAATGGAGCAGATGTTCTTAGCTCTCCTGGTGAGTGTAGATATTATGCCAGCCTTCACCTGTGGTGGATGGTTGGACTGGTAGTTCACATATTGGTTGGTGTGCGTCGGCTTGCGGTACACGGTGGTCTGGAATGTGTTGGTAGGGGTGCGGGATACAAGGACGTCTAGGAAGGGCAGTTTGTTGTTCGTTTCTGGTTCCATGGTAAATTTGATGCGTTGGTGTTGGTTGTTTAGATGTTGTAGTAGCTGATCTGGATCTTGGCCGGGATGGAGGATGACAAACGTGTCGTCAACCTTACGATGCCAACACATAGGTTTCACAAATGAAGTCAGTAGGGCTTTCTCTTCTAGGTCAGTGAGGTATATTTCACTGAGAATGGGTGATAGTGGCGAACCCATTGGCAGTCCATGTATTTGTTCAAAGATGTCTTCACCCCAGGTGAAGTAGGTTGAATCAATGGAGGCAGAGGTTAGGCTGATTATGGAGTCTATGGTGAGGCTGGTGTCTAGGGGATCGTCAAGGTTGTTGAGTCTTTGTCGCAAGGCAAGGAGGGCTTCTTCTCGTGGTACATTAGTAAATAAGTCTACTACATCATAACTGACGATGGGACCAGGGTCCGATATTTCACAGAGTTTTTTGCAAAATTCACTAGAGTCCAAAATGAACGATTTAGCGGATTTACCTAATGGGGCTAGCACTCGGGTTAGGTGTTGAGCAGTATTATAGAAGACAGTGTCACGGGAACAGATCAGGAGGCGAGTTTTGACATCAACCAAGCTACCTAGACCAGAGCCAGCACCAATAGAATTCTCCATCCCCTACATTGGCAAGACCTCACACCAGATCAGCAGACTCCTGAAGCAACAAGCCGATATAGACACCACATTCTGCACCCAGTCTAAGTAAACTTAGGCTCAGTATTATTCGTTACACTGCTATACTGAGTCTAACGAAACCCTGTGGAAGGTCGCGTCAGGTAACCTTTGAGCGACCTATGACCGACCGCCCAATCAAACGCGAGACGGCCGAACGGATTTAACCGATCAGACAACGGCTACTATTTAGGGTTTGGCGGGACTTACAAATGGATTTTCTTTTCCCCGGTCGCCAACACTGATCTCGTAACAAATGACGATATATGACCTGCAGAATATACGCTTTTGGGTTTCTGTTGACATGGCTATCATTAGCTAATATTTCCGAACGCTGACATCCTTAAATACTGACAAAACGCTATTTTCAGCGACTGTTACTCACTCTTGTGGCGTGCTCCATGTGCATCACTCGGAAGCGATCGTACGGAAAATAGCATTCGGAATCGTTCGGGTACAAAAGTTCAAAAGGTATGTGCGAATGCGAACTTTCGCGATATGGTAAGCTGTGTTCTGATTGGTGCATTGAAAAGGTCAGCTGACGCGACCATCCACAAGGTTTTGTTAGACTCAGTATAGCAGTGTAACGAATAATACTGAGCCTAAGTTTGCTTAGACTGATTCTCCACCTCACGAACCCTAAACAGCCTTCTGCAGGCCAACGGGCGTAACCACCCCAACAACGGAAAATTCAATCCCAAGAGTGTGGTTTATAAAACTGACTGCAACTGTGGACAATCATATATTGGCGAAACACCTAGGCCACTTAACACCAGGGTGAAAGAGCACCAGGCGTCTACAATAAAATCCGACAACAAATCAGCCATCTTAGAACATGTTCAGGCCAACCCAAATCACCAAATCAAAGGGACAGAATACACCATACTGGCAACCAACTAACCTGACTTCACCAAACGGAATATAAGCGAAGCCATGCACATCAAAGGACACCGACCCCTGATCAACAGAGATCAAGGTGTGCTCCTCGGCACAAGATGACCTCATCAACCACCCCTAACTGCTTGTATACTTGTATAAACATGCCCCATCACTCCTGCTCTGTACATCCCACAGGCTTCTAAATGTATCCATTGTCACTGGCTTCCACATGTAATCCCTTATCATCACATTGTTACTGTACATCTAATTTACTTCTTGTTGTTCTTGTCAATTATTTACTTTATATATATGTAACCCCGTGTTTTACCTGACCCATACTTCCTTGACAGATCCTTGTATCGAAACGTCGCATCTTCCGAATAAAGAGGTTGTTTATCCATAAAGTTTGTTCCTCATCCAAACCCCAAAAGTATTGGGATGAGTACTTTACTGAAAAGTGTCACCCCAAACATCAGATATGCTACATTTGACCACTTTCTAAATGACGTTCAGTATTCAACTATGTGATCACACTATAACACTAATTATAGGGATCACGTTGTGATACATACTGGTCTAGTGGCACAATATGTCTCCCACGCGTCTAGCGCTTGTTTGGAGATCACTTTTCCTCTTTTATGGTATTGTTGACAATGTGAAATGTCAAGACGTCTAAACTCCTAAATGAGTTGAGAGACCAAGTGGACGCTAAAGCGGTATATAATTATTAGCTGAAGGCTGATATTTGAAACGTCCAGGCTGATTTAATGTGGCGTTTCTTCAGATAAAGAGTAGTTTCTCAAACGCCAGACAGAGACCAAGACTTCAGAATGCAATTGCAAATTGAAACCCGTGGTGATTCTCATGTTCTTATAAGACTAGACTTGGAATGGCCTGTTACGAATAAGCGGCATAGGGGTCGACAGATCTAGCAGACAACCTGACGTGGTTGATGCTGGATAGGCCAGACAACCTGACGTGGTTGATGCTGGATAGGCCAGACAACCTGACGTGGTTGATGCTGGACAGGCCAGACAACCTGACGTGGTTGATGCTGGACAGGCCAGACAACCTGACATGGTTGATGCTGGACAGGCCAGACAACCTGACATGGTTGATACTGGACAGGCCAGACAACCTGATTTGGTCGATGCTGGATAGGCCAAACTTCCTGACGTGGTTGATGTTTGATAGGCCAGACAACCTGACGTGGTTGATACTGGATAGGCCAAACTTCCTGGCGTGGTTGATGTTTGATAGGCCAGACAACCTGACGTGGTTGATGCTGGACAGGCCAGACAACCTGACGTGGTTGATGCTGTACAGGCCAGACAACCTGACTTGGTTGATGTTGGATAGGCCAGACTTCCTGACGTGGTTGATGTTGGATAGGCCAGACTTCCCGACGTGATTGATGTTGGATAGGTCAGACAACCTGACGTGGTTGATGTTGGATGGGGCAGAAAACCAAACATGACTGATGCTGGATAGGCCAGACGTCCTGATATAGTTGATGTTGGACAGGCCAGACAACCAAACATGGTTGATGCTGGACAGGCCAGACAACCAAACCTGGTTGATGCTGGACAGTCCAGACAACCAAACCTGGTTGATACTGGACAGGCCAGACAACCTGATGTAGGCAATGTATGATGGGCAGAGGTCCGGTATCTCAGACGACAAGGGCCCGAATTTCCGATGACAAGACGTTATAGGGGTTTGAATCTCAGACGTTCAGACAGGGTTGGGTTCAAGTGCCTGAGATGACTACATGTATTCGGGTTCGGGTATTTCAAACACGAGGCTGGGATTGTGCATGTCAGACAGATATGGCTTGGTTTCTCTATCTCAGACAACAAGGTAAGGGCCATGGTACCTCACACGACCAGACATGGCTGTGATCAGGTATCACAGACGAACAGCCATGACACAAGCCAGATATCAGAGGAGACCTGCCGTGGCTGAGATAGGGCATCACAGACAACCCGACAAGGCAGAGTACACGTAGAGCAGACGACCAGACATGCCATAGGTCAGGTACACAGACGACCAGCCGTGGAAGAGGTCAGGTATTACAGACGACCATACATGACAGAGGTCACGTCAGACGACCAGACATGACAGAGGTCAGCTAATACAGACGACCAGCCGTGGCAGAGATCGAGTATCACAGACGACCAGACATGACAGAGGTCACGTCAGACAACCAGACACGGAAGAGGTCAGGTATTACAGACGACCAGACATGGTAGAGGTCAGGTATTACAGACGACCATACATGACAGAGGTCAGCTAATACAGACGACCAGCCGTGGCAGAGATCGAGTATCACAGACGACCAGACATGACAGAGGTCACGTCAGACGACCAGACGTGGCAGAGATCAGGTATTACACACGACCAGACATGACAGAGGTCAGCTAATACAGACGACCAGACATGGCAGAGGTCAGGTATTACATACGACCAGACATGGCAGAGGTCAGGTATTACAGACGACCATACCTGACAGAGGTCAGGTATTATAGACGACCAGACATGGCAGAGGTCAGGTATTATAGACGACCAGACATGACAGAGGTCAGGTACACAGACGACCAGACATGGCAGAGGTCAGGTATTACAGACGACCAGACATGGCAGAGGTCAGGTATCACAGACGACCAGACATGAAAGAGGTCAGCTAATACAGACGACCAGACATGGCAGAGGTCAGGTATTACAGACGACCAGACATGACAGAGGTCAGGTAGACAGACGACCAGCCGTGGAAGAGGTCAGGTATTATAGACAACTAGACATCACAGAGGTCACGTCAGACGACCAGACATGGCAGAGGTCAGGTACACAGACGACCAGACATGACAGAGGTCACGTCAGACGACCATACATGACAGAGGTCAGCTAATACCGACGACCAGACATGGCAGAGGTCAGGTAATATAGACGACCAGACATAGCAGAGGTCAGGCACACAGACGACCAGATATGACAGAGGTCACATCAGACGACCAGACATGGCAAAGGTCAGGCACACAGACGACCATACATGACAGAGGTCACGTCAGACGACCAGACATAACAGAGGTCAGGTATTACAGACGACCAGACATGGCAGAGGTCAGGTATTACAGACGACCAGCCGTGGCAGAGGTCAGGTATTACAGACGACCATACATGGCAGAGGTCAGGCACACAGACGACCAGACATGACAGAGGTCACGTCAGACGACCAGACATGACAGAGGTCACGTCAGACGACCAGACCTGACAGAGGTCACGTCAGATGACCAGACATGACAGAGGTCAGCTAATACAGACGACCAGACATGGCAGAGGTCAGCTAATACAGACGACCAGACATGGCAGGGGTCAGGCACCCAGACGACCAGACATGGCAGAGGTCAGGTATTATAGACGACCAGACATGGCAGAGGTCAGGTACACAGACGACCAGACATCACAGAGGTCACGTCAGACGACCAGACATGACAGAGGTCAGCTAATACAGACGACCAGACATGGCAGAGGTCAGGTATTATAGACGACCAGAAATGGCAGAGGTCAGGCACACAGACGACCAGACATAACAGAGGTCACGTCAGACGACCAGACATAACAGAGGTCAGGTATTACAGACGACCATACCTGACAGAGGTCAGGTATTATAGACGACCAGACATGGCAGAGGTCAGCTAATACAGACGACCAGACATGGCAGAGGTCAGGTATTATAGACGACCAGACATGGCAGAGGTCAGGTATTATAGACGACCATACATGACAGAGGTTAGGTACACAGACAACCAGCCGTGGCAGAGATCGAGTATCACAGACGACCAGACATGACAGAGGTCACATCAGACCAGACATAACAGAGGTCACGTCAGACGACCAGACATGACAGAGGTCACGTCAGACGACCAGACATGACAGAGGTCAGCTAATACAGACGACCAGACATGGCAGAGGTCAGCTAATACAGACGACCAGACATGGCAGAGGTCAGGTATTATAGACGACCAGACATGGCAGAGGTCAGGTATTATAGACGACCAGACATG